AAAAAATTGCTATTCCGGAATTGGTCGGCAAGCACTATTCAGAAGTAAATAGTTTAGTTATTGTTGATTTAGAAAAAAGGAATTTAATAATAAAAAAAGAAGTAATTAGTCATAGTTATCCCCACGATTGACGAGATAAAAGTCCCTTAATTTATCGTTTAACTAAGCAATGATTTATTAAAGTAGAAGCAATAAAAAAAGAATTGTTAGAGAATATTGAAAAAGTAAAATGATATCCAGATTGAACCGAGGAAAAAATGAAGCAAATAATAGCGGCTCGGGAAGACTGATGTATTTCACGGCAGAGAAAATGGGGAGTTCCTATTCCGATTTTATACCAAAACAATGAACCGATACTTAATTCTGAAATTATTGATTATGTGGCAGAAATTGTGGCTGAACAGGGTTCTGATTGTTGATTTGACGGAAGTATTTTGCCACTTTTGAGAGAAAAATTTCCCAATTTGATAAATAAAGAAACATTTTTAGGACAAGATATTATGGATGTTTGGTTGGATAGTGGAGTTTCGCATTGGTGTGTTTTAAAAAATAAATAGAATGGAAATAGAGATCAATGGAAAAATTCTTACTTTTTGTGGAAAGTGCCATAAAGAAATTTCTTGCGGAGAAAAAATAACAATCAAAGAAAAAGTAGTGTTTTGTAAGGAATGTTCTCAAAAAGCAACTGCTATGTGTCATGGTTGCTCTCTACCTATCTTTAAGCATGAGTTAGTTTATGAAGTTTCAGAGGGATGAAGCATTGGTAGCGAAAACAGGTCAACAAATTTAATTCAATGTCATTCGTGTTATGAAATTTGATTAATAGACACAAATCAAAAAAATAATTCACTAAAATGAGTAGCATGAAGCAATGATTTCTCAATACTCTTAATAACTTTTCACTAACCATTTTAGCATTCGCTTTAGCATGAGAACCAAAAAGTATCGATGATGCAAAAACAAAAAAAATTTGGCTTTTTACTTCATATACGACACTATTATTTAATATAGTTATTTTTCCGCTTCTTAAACTTATATTAATATGGATTGAGAAAAGAAAGGAAAAGAGTTGAAAAAATAATGAGAATCGAACG